AAATAAACTTTTATTAAAAATAAAAAAGTACTATTTTTGAAATGTTTTGCAACTATTTGCTATATTTTGATATTTAAATTCTAGCCGTCAAAGAAAACCGATCAGAAAAACATTTTTAAAATGAATAACATTTTAAATGGATAAATATAATGTAAATATAATTCTAATAAATACTTAGGTACATTTTATACATATCTACAAGCCGCAACCTTTTATAAGCCGCACTTTAAAACCACTTTTTTTTCATACGAAACCGCGGCTTCTAACGGAAAAACAGGGTACTCTTAAGATTAAGAGTTATTATTATATTATATTAATTAAGTTGATTTTTGTTAAACATATTATCTCAAATACGATTAAGTTTAGTCTGAGTGAGGATTTAAGGAGGTCGATAAAAGGTACACTCAAATCGTCCTTCACGCAGATAAAGTATTCCACGCCTCGGCTATCGACCATCCACTCAACTCAAACGCGAAATCTGAGAACTTTTACAAAGAGTGGTCAGCAAACTGACCACTCTAGTGGTCGTAGTCGACAAGTCTCGTCTGTAGGACGTCCTCCGAGCCGATATGAGATCAAATATTTGTTGGAAACTTATAGATAATACGGGCAGAAATTTTCTTTTTTTATTCCGTTAATTTTTTTAATTAAAATGTTTTGAATTGACATTATGTTGAGATTTTTTTTCATTGAATTGTAAAAATTGAATTTCGTTCAAGATAAAATTTTCAGTTAGCAATTAGAGGAAGTGAAATGCATAAAAATCTGCATATTAATTATTCGCTGTTAAAAACTCGAAGATGGAGCACAAACTTTTTCCGAGACGTTTCGAGCGTAGTTCGTCCGGAGTTGAATTGCTTGTTTAATTAATCCAAAATGGCGCGATACGAAAACATTTTAATATACAATTTAGGCGAGGGACGGATTTAATGGGTAAGTTTTAAACGGCTGCCGTCTTGGCGCTAACTCGTTTTTCCTCTCAGCCAATTAAAAGTCGGAACCCTTCGTTGTTTTGTTTATTTAAAAGGATTTCTTGGACGTGTCTTTACCAAGCGAACAAACAGGAACTAATCGAACGGAGGGGGCTCGGTACTTGTACTTGTACTTTACCGAAAGCCCGAATACTAGCGTATGAGGATTGGCTCGAAATTGCGAACAAAACTTTCGGCGCGCGATGTCGCCGAACTGTCAACAACGGGCAACTTTGAACATAATATTAAACTGTCGGGGACACGCGCGTACCAAAGAGTAGGTGGCGCCCCGAAACACAACAGGACCGGACTCAAACGATTCCATCGAAACGTATATCAACCCAACTATTTGATTTATTAAGACATTTCAACTTTAGCTTTAAAAATCAACCCCATCAAACCTTGTAATAATCGAAACAAATATCTTAAAACCTTGAATCGACTGCTTTTATTCTTACTTTTTAATATTGTTGAAGCTGGTCCTGTTTAAAGTTGCACCGTCCTCCTCGTCGTCTAATTGTGTTTGGTCGGAACGCATCGTGCCAGACGAGATAAGGGCAGTTTGTGGGGGGCACTTTACCGCCGAGACGGCCCTTTCGTACCCTTTATATCAGTTCAGGGGGCAGTTGCAGCGTCCGGCCCTGGACCCCGTGCGAGTATTAAGGTGTAAACCTGAGTAAAGGAGGACGACGTCGTACTCGTCCCTCCGGACGCATCTAATCACTTCCGGTTGGTGTAACGGAACCATTTCGGGACCTGCTCCCAGAGGAGCGTTTTGGTTCTCTGGTGTTCTACGATAAAATTCTTTCAACTTATCTTTTTTACCTTCTTAAATCTCACAACTTAATCAAATCCAAAATAACATATGTACTATCATTGTTTTTGGTCTCTCTATATGGCATAAGTCAAGAAATTGTTGTAATGTTCGCGTATGCTGAATTACTCCCCAAGCAGTATTTAGACCAGCCATGTCCAACTGCGGCCTGATTGCGATTTTTGTGCGGCCCGATAACAAAAAAAGGAAATCGCACAAATTAATATTTAAATTTTAATAATCGATAATACAAATAATTTTTATTACTTGGTCGCATGACGTTTTATAAAACTCCTATATCTTAATATATAAAAATGGAATCTTGTATGTATGTATGTAATAATTTGCACAATAGCGAATCCCGATGTATGGCGTTTACGAATACAGTAAATACCCCGACCTACGTAAACCCGACTTACGTAGATTCGGAGATACGTAACTGCGAATTTGTCCGTTTTGTCGGGTATTCCCCTGTTTCGCTCAAAAGTGGATTGAATCATAAAATTTTCTAGTCCCTTCAGTTTATGCGAGTTCTTCGTAGAGAGTTGATTAATCACAGAGTTGATAAACTTATTGTTTTAAAAAGGTTGTGAAAATAAAAGTAAGTAATATTTTATTTTAATTTGCAGTCCTACAAAAATTTATTCGTTTCTTTAATTATACCAGAATAAATAAAATTGTCCATAATATTGACGTGCGATGTCGGGTAGGAAGAAAAGAAAACTAGAAGATGAAAACAGACAATTTAAAAATAATTGGGAAGATGACTACTTTTTCTTGCAAGTAAAAAATAATGCTGTGTGCTTAGTTTGTCGTGAAACGATTACTGCTAAAACTTATAACATACGAAGACATTATGAAAAACATACGGAACTTTCTGTACTTTCTGGTGGTGAACGCAAGGCCAAATTACACTTACTTAAAGCTAACTTAAAGTCTCAACAAAATGTGTTTCAAAAACAAAATCAACAATCAAACGACATTGTCAGTACAAGTTTAAAAATTTCTCAAATTATTGCTAAAAAAATGAAACCTTTCTCGGATGGAGAATACATCAAAGAATGTTTAATTGCTGCAGCTGAAGATATTAGCCCGGAAAAAGTTCATATTTATAAACAAATAAGTCTGTCTCATCAAACTGTTGCACGTAGAGTTGATGATATTTCCAATGAAATTTCCCTAAACCTCAATGAACATACCAAACAATTTGTGTACTACTCATTAGCTTTGGATGAAACAACCGATATCAAGGATACATCACAACTTGCTATATTTATTCGCGGAGTTGATAATAAGCTGAAAGTAACAGAAGAACTCCTTGATCTTGTGAGTCTGAAGGATACAACAACGGGCAAAGATATTAAAGATGCTGTTCTAAAATGCGCGGAAGATCGACAATTAGATTTAAAAAAACTTATTGGTATTACAACCGATGGAGCACCATCAATGATAGGAAAAAACATAGGAGCAGTTACTTTAATTTGCAAACATATTGAAAGCTTGGGACAAAATACATCATTTTTGGATTTATTTATTTGTCATTGTTTTTTACATATAGAAAATCTATGTGCTCAGTCATTAAATATGTCTCACGTGATGTCAGTTGTCATTAATATTATTAACAAAATAAAAAATAATTCATTAAAACACCGCCAGTTTCAAGAATACCTTCGCGAACTGGAGTCCGAGTACTGTGACCTAATATATTACGCCAAAATACGATGGTTGAGTCGTGGAAAATGTTTATTAAGATTTTGGAACCTCAGGGAAGAAATTAGAATTTTCATGAATGAGAACGGCGAAGACGTTCCACAATTATACGATGAAAAATGGTTGTTGGATTTGTGTTTCTTAATAGATATCACAACTAAATTAAATGAACTAAATCAGAATCTTCAAGGAGAAAATAAATTAATTACGAATTGCTATCAAGACATAAAGACATTCATTGCTAAATTAAAATATTTTCAAAATCAACTGAAATCGAATAATGCCACACATTTCCCTCACTTAAATGATTTCGAAATGGAAAATAAACCCATTTCCGAATATTCGCATAATATTAAAGATTTGCTTGAGGAATTTGAAAAAAGATTTGCCTACCTAGAAAAATTTGAACAAATGTTCAATATTTTTAATTGTCCATTTAATATTGATGTGAATTCAGCTCCAGGTTATTTACAACTGGAACTTATCGATCTGCAGTCCAACTCAGAAATGAAATTAAGGTTTGAGGACATCAATATAGTCGACTTTTATGGAAAATATATCCAGGAAGATAAATTTCCTAATTTGAAAAAATTAGCTATGTGTATTGTGGCAGCAAACGGCACAACATATCTCTGTGAGTCATTTTTTTCTAGATTAAAATTAGTCAAAACCAAAGACTGTAACAGGCTCACCGACGCAAATTTGACGAATCAGTTACGTTGTGCCACAACAAAATTAGAAGTTGATATTAAAAAAATTTCAAATAAAATAAATACACAAGTTTCACATTAAATATCTGTTGTAATTTACTGAAATACCTATATATTATTGTGTATATCTGTGTACATGCTAGTTTGTGTATACGTATCTCATTTGAGCGCGAGTGTGCGCTAGAATTGAAATTTTCTTGTTCAGGTGGGTGGCGGCCCAGTGCCTTGTACATTCCTAAATTTTGGCCCGAAGAGTAATTTGGGTTGGACATGGCTGATTTAGACTTTCTTTAGCGATATCTGGTCAACGCAACCCAACCCTACGTCTCGTTTGCCTCCAAGCAAAACTTTTCCTTTGCAAAACTAACCAATGCCTGTACTATTAAGCTACGTTGCGTTTAATAAATTTGCTGTCGCCTAGATTCAAACAAAATTAACAAAGGCTATTGTTCGGTTTTAATTGGTAATTTTCTAAACATTTTAACTCATCCCACGCCTCTCCCGCATAGCACACGAAAATTAACTGTAGAGAGTCCGAGCTTTCGGACGTCTCGTTTACTTTAACGCTCGTTTCACCCGACAAAATATACGGGATCGTTAACGTCTCGTTCGATCTACGATTTGTCTATTCAATTTCTAACGGCTCAAAGCATTCGAAATCCTATTTCGATCTGTCTTTGGTAATTAACGGAATTTATCGACTTGCAAATAGCAATATCTAAACTTCTAAATATTTATCGACAAAAGTAAACTGAATTTGCTAGAATTCTTTACAGTTTAATCAAGATAAGGAAGTTAAAATATAGTTATTTATTCACGAACGTTTTCAATATGAATCAGTGTAAATTCTGTTGTTGAGTTTTTAATATCGAGTAAGTATTACGATTTAATAAAGAATATTTGTTTAAAGGGGCTAAATTTAATTTTTAGTGATGGTTAAAGCTATAAAGATGATATTGGCTTTAATTGTACTGGTTTGTGTTATAAGCCTTAGCGATCAAGATTGTCATACACTATACCAATATTCAGATTGGTATAGGGGTATTGAATGCGAAAACATTACAATTAATCACAGACTATTTTCGACTTCTTATTATAGCGAGTTCCGCCGACTTGAAGTATTAGTAATTACAGAAAGTAACTTCTCTGTTTTTTCATACGATCTGACGCAAAAGTTGCCTGCCTTGAAGAAAATCACGGTATCACAAAGCGGCGTAAAAATAATTGATTATTTACGTAAAAGATCAACACCTCCATATTTAATTAGTATTAATTTGAGCCACAATGAAATATCAAAGTTATCAAACAACATTTTCAGTAGCGTGCCCACGTTAAATGATCTAAATGTATCTCATAATCGCATCGAAATAATTGAACCATTCTTCTTTAACTCTTCAATTGAAACACTTGATTTAAGTTATAACAAAATAAAAGTGTTTCCGATTGCTGCATTGGATACAAAGTTGCTTACGATCAATTTAAGTTACAATGAACTTACTGAAATATCAAATAACCAATTCGACACATTTCAAAACTTAATAAATGTATATATGTCTCATAATAACATAGAAATAATTGAAATAAGCACAACAAATAGTATCGAAACGTTAGATTTGTCTCATAATAATATTAAAGATATTACTTCAATTTTAAAATATTTCTTAAAGTTACATAAACTTCATTTAAATAATAACTTAATCAGCGAAATACCCAGACAAGGTTTTGACTCGTTACAATTTTTGAATGAATTAGATTTGGGTGGAAATAAATTGCACGAAATGAATTTTCAAATTCTTTTGGGGAACAATAAATTCTTACATCACCTAGATTTGAATAATAACTCATTAAACATAACAAATTTGAATGTTTTAAATACCAATTCGATTTCGACCTTAATGTTAAGCAAAAATATTTTTAATATCACAACGATCAAAGTATTTAAAGAATTGACTGACTTGGATGTTTCAATGACGAATTCGAGCATTATTTCTATCGATACTTTTACCAATAATATTCTATTGAAGTACTTAAATTTATCGTATAACAACATCGAAGTTCTTCACACAGGAACGTTTGCAAAATTATTGCATTTAAGTAGGTTGGATTTAGCAGGAAACAAATTACAAGCTTTGCCATCCGGTTTGTTTCACCAAAATCCATTGTTTCACCTTTCTGTTGCAAATAATCGTTTAGTAACATTTAATATGGATAGTTTACATCATTATAGAAGACCCGATTTTATTGATTTGGATGATAATTTATGGTCGTGCAATACATTGACCAAAATAATTCATCATTTAGAAGATATATCAGAATTGAAATCGGTTAGTAAAGGTAATCATTATTCGGAACCTAACATCAAAGGTAATTTATGCACCTTAAATTCAACTGAAAGCGAAACTAACGTTACAATCCAAGAAGTTTTGATACAAAATTTAGATGTTATGAGAGACATTCACGATTACTTGGAGGATCAAGAATTAATTAATAAAATGATGATTAAAATTCTTGCTTCACCCAAAAATAATTCATTACGAAATAACGTCGCTATCGAAAATCAAACTCTCCCTGTTTTAACAACAAACATAGATAAAATTGGTAACGCTCCTTTTGTAAATAAGAACGAAAATTACGTTTTTGTAAAATCGTCTATTTTAACTTGGTTACTTTGTATACAAACTCTTTTTATGTTTTTAATTACAAGTATTATAATTTATTATTTAAAATGCCGTCGTGCTTCTGTTAGAAGTAACGGTACGTTATTACACGATATGGACGAATCATTATAAATAACTTTATAACCATAAATATGTAAAACTTAATAAAGCCAACAAAATTAATAAAAATAAATATATTATATGATGTTCTATTACTATTATCACTTTCTCTAATAAAATTGAAACATTGAGAAATCGGAAAAACTTTCCGATCCCCTTCGTTTTGATTAAATAACACGCGCGTAGCACCGTGCTCAACTTCTTTTGGCGCTCTCGATTCCTATCCCAAGGCGCAAAGTTTCGCCACTGTAATTACGAAAGTTTCCCGAGCTTTTCCAAGCGATACACAATCCGACTCGACTGCATATAGGTGAGTAGATCTCTATCTTCGATGGTGTCACAATAAATACACACAAAAATATAATTATTATGTTTCTTTAAATATTCTCATATTTGATTCATCAAATATCGTCCTCGTCATCGTCATCAAAAAAGTCATCGTAATAAGTCGTTCCCACCTAAGTTACAACAGCAATGAAAGATAATAGACATAAAAGAAAATATTGGAAATGGAGCCTGTAATAACTAAGTAGTAGTGGTTGAAGAAAAAGACTGAACAGGGATTGCAAAGAGAAAAAGCGGTTGGGCGCAATAGGAGGGTACTGGTAATAGCAAAAAGAAACTGTAATGACTAGTAGGTGATTGAACTGCAACGATGAAGACTGGTAATAGGAGAAACAGGCTTAATAGAGACGGTAAATGCAAGCTATTAAGTAGACAGAAAAGAAGTTGACTGGAAGGAGACTAGTAGTAGAAAAAAGGCTCCACAAAGACTAAAAAGACAAGATGGTGACCGGACAAGAAGAAAGTATAGTACAAAAGTACGGCTAATAGAAGACAGAGACTGAATAGGGGTTGTAGTAAGAAGTACGTGATTAATCAAAAAAGAATAAGACTTGTAAGAAAAAAAAGAGACTATAAAGAGTTCTTCCCATGCACCTTGCATTATACAACGTCCTAGATGTGGGCGATTCAACATTCGTTACTTGAGGATCATTAACTTTAATAAACAAAACTGACCTTTCTCTGAACATTCCAGATCGAAAACATTCCACACCGCATCTTACTAATAATTCGATTATTATACGAAGACTTGGATATAACTGTAACATACTTACAACAGGTATAAGTACGAAGGCTTTCACAGCCGGTGTTAATTAAACTAAAACTAGAACTAACACTAGCACTAACACTAGACCTAGAACTAGAAACTTAGAAAAACAAGTTCGAAGTCAACTTGTTTCTGAAGAAGGTTGCAACATGGCATCGGAAACGTCAAAATTTTTTTCAAAAAACGCTCGGCTTAACCCGAAAGTTTCTAGTTCTAGATTTAGCGTTAGTTTTAGTTTAATTACAACAGGTAATTTGTAAACGATAATAGTATATTAAAAAACAAGTTTCGTAAGACACGTTTGAAATGCACGAATTCAAGTTTAATGAATGAGTGCTTTAAGTCTTATGAAACGTGTTTTTTATGCTGTTTTTTGTAATTCGCGTTTTTATCCTTTTTTTTTTCTCAAAAATATAAATTTTGACAATGTAGGAAAATAGGTATGTAGCAGTTGGTAACACTTGAAAATAGAAATTTAAATTGACAAGTAGAAATTGTCAAAACACAAAATGTATTCACCTGACAAAAATGTTTCATGTACAGGGTGGTTCAAATTCGATGTCCGAATATACTATCTCGGAAACTATAAGAACTAGAAAAAAAGTAGCTTACATGTCTTGATCTCTTTTTTTAAATAAGTTCCAATGTCGAAAACCTCAAAACGCTATCGTCTTTTGTTTTTCCCCTAGAGGCCAAAATTGAAAATATCGTAAAACCAGCAAGTGCAATTATCTTGGTTATTATTATAGCTGGAGTATTATAACTAAGACATTATATGGACACTTTTTTACAGAGAATTTGATGACGTAGTCAAAAAAATTTTTTCGGTTTTAGATTTTGAGATATTATCACAATGTTCGTTTTTTTAAATGGAAATAACCACTGATTATTCGCTTATTAAATTCGTTATTTTTTTCTGATTATAAAAATATAGGGTTTGACAGGTCTATTTCTTATTGTTTTAGAATAAAGCTAAAAATTAACTTTTCTTTTAGTGTCTTCCAAGAAATTAAATTTACAGTTTCCTGTAAATTACGGTACTATAATTAAAAATTAAAAAAACATATTTCTGATATTTGAAACAAATATATTTGTTGAACTATTTAATTTATATATGTAATTATACAAAAGTTGGAATAGATTGCATAATTTCACATTTTTTATTAATATTTAATATTATTCTTAAATGACTTAATAAATTATTGATAGATGGCGCCATATGTTTTTTTTTAATTCAAATAAACAGCAACATTTGTATTCAAAAATTTTCTGAAGTGTCACTTTAAAAATCCTGTTTTTTAAGATGGATTACGAAAATTACGAAAAGTTTAACATATTAGAATGTTACATATTAGAAAATAAAGTAAATTTTATATAAATTTTTAGTAGAATAATTTTTAGTTATAATACCGTAATTTACAGGAAACTGTAAATTTAATTTCGTCGACGACACTAGATGGAAATTTTATAAAAAAAGTTTATTTTTAGCTTTATTCTAAAACAATCAGAAATAGACCTATCTAACCCCATATTTTTGTAATCAGAAAAAAATAAAGAATTTAATAAACGAATAATCAGTGGTTGTTTCCATTTAAAAAAATGAAAATTGTCATGATATCTCAAAATCTAAAACCGAAAAAATTTTTTTGTCTACATCATCAAATTCTCTGTAAAAAAGTGTCCATATAATGTCTTAGTTATAATACTCCACCTAGAATAATAACGAAGATAATTGCACTTGCTGGTTTTACGATATTTTCAATTTTGGCCTCTAGGGGAAAAACAAAAGACGATAGCGCTATGAGGTTTTCGGCATTAGCAGTTTCTCGAAAAACGAGATCATGACATGGAAGCTACTTTTTTTCTAACTCTTATAGTTTCCGAGTTAGCCTATTCGGACATCGAATTTGAACCACCCTGTACATCTTCCAAAAGAAGAGAAATTGCTCAGAGTTCAATGTCGTCATCATTGTGGACCTTGTATTCGATGCTAAGAACGTGTTTAAACATCCATAGACAAAAATTGTCACATTGACAACTAGAAAAATTAATGACTCAATGTCACCAACTTGAACTGGTTCTATAAAATGTTACTAAAATCTCATTACAGCATCCGATGCTGTAAGGAGTCTCATTACAGCACCCGTTTGAGTACTGTTATAGCTTTCAATACCGTCGCGAATTACAAAAAAGATACTTACATAGTTGGACAAAATGTTCCCTCTAATAACACTATTATATAAGGCTTTTATTTGATGAAGTGTGCATGTTGTCACGAAATCAAGAAGTAGCGAATCGAGTACGCTTCGCTTCCGAGTACCTCTGGGATCAAATGTTTACCTTAACAAATGAAGTGAATATAAAAGATACAAGAGACAAAACTGAAATGTTTTCGTAATTCAAATGAAACACGCGATTGCGACGCCGCGCCATAAACAACCGTTTTTCAGTTCGCGTCTTCGCGTAATTCGATAATTGATTTCTGCCGAAATCCATTCGAGAGTTAGGAACGTCGACGTCGTCCGGCGGCGACTCTCAAAGCCATGATTCATACGGGATGACGAATATGAGTCGCATGTCGCCGTACGCATAAATATAGGAGGGTCGGAATCGGGCTTAAGGCTGATTTATGACCGCAGGAGGGATAATGCGGGTTCGATCCGTGACCGTTTTTTTCTAGTGCTCTATTTGCATTGTTATTATTGTCACCCCGCCCACCACGAAGTTCTCTCACGAAGAAGAACTTTTCATGCAACACAAGTTATTCGATTTATAATTATTACGAAACTGTATCATTGTCAGTTGTAAAGATAGGTTAGGTTCGTAACGTTTCATTAAAGATAAATGCTTCCATTATCTGGTTAGATGATGTGGGGTTTCAAAAAGGGCACACATCGTATACGAGATTGGTAAAGTGCATCCTGAATGCACTTAGGGTTACCCTTGACGACGATGACAGTCTTGTGATCTTGGTCCTCTCTCCATCGACGGGAGCCGATCGCCGGATGTTGAAAATCCAATTAATTACGGCAACGCTGAAATATACACTCGCCTTGCATCGATACTAATTGAGAGAGCATAGTAGGTAGAGAAGAGTCTCTTCACTTGGCAGTCTTGTCAAATGGGCGACGCGCTCCGGAATGTGAATATCGAATTAGCCCAACACAAAGAGGAACGTTTAATCGAATCAGAATTAATCGAATAGCGGCGTGCACTTCGTCGAAATATAATGGCCCCTAAGAGCTTTAATTATTGTCGTCTTATTCGATTTGTGTTCGGTTTGGGTTTTAATTAATACATAAAAATTATCTTGCGTAAATTACTTGAAAGCTGAGTGTAAACTTCAATGGTATTCTGGTTATTTAATCCTAATAGATTGGTACTCGGTAATAAAACGGTCTCGTGATTGTTAATATTTTTGGTGTGACGTCAACTGTCCGCGTTAATTGGCATTTGTCACGTTAAATTACGACACTCGAGCCTCAATTAATTACTTAAATCATCGGATTCGGTGCTAATTAATCCGCGATTATCAAACCAAACTAAATCGATCGTTTTCTTTCGAAACAATAAGGTAACTGTCGCTTACAATTTGCGTTGATCGTTACAAACGGAGGGGTCGCGTGCGCTTTACGGAAAAGAAGGAAAAAACCTGGGTTTACACTGGAAGATGAAGAAATATCAAAGGGACTCGCTTTGGGACGCCGCCCCTTCGCACGCAAAGTTCAGATTTATCTACCCACGGAAGCGTCAGATCCTATCTCGCATTGTTTGCACAGCGACGTTCCCTCCTATATTTGTGAAATAAAAAGTCGACGGGGAATTTGTCTTAATGCGCGCCGGAATTAATTAAACCTTGGGATTCTTGCTCGTTCTCTCGATGAAATATAATTCAGAATTCGGTTGAAAACCGATTGGGATTAATTGGCCCACGAAATCTACTAGTCGGCACGTTAGGTCAGCCGCTAAA